TGAGCTGCATTGAGGGGGATCCAAGGCCTGTCAGGAGCATCCTCTTCAGCCCTGATGGCTGCTGCTTGTACAGTGGCTGCAGGACTCGCTGCATGTCTATGGCTGGGAGTCTGAGTGCTGCTTCGATGTGGTCATTGTCAACTGGGGCAAGGTGGCTGACCTGGCCATCTGTAATGACCAGCTGATAGGTGTGGCCTTCTCCCAGGGTAATGTCTCCTCTTGTGTGGTGGACCTGACGGGAGTCACCAGAACAGGCACTGTGCCCCAGGACCCTGTGCAGGCTAGGCAGCCTCTGCCACAGCAGACCCCCAACCCTGGTGCCTCCCTCCACCACATCTACAAGTGGTCCAGCACAACCTGCAGCAAGCCTCAGCGGGGGACAGCACAGCTCAGAGAGCGAGCGGCACAGCCCCAGTAGCAAAGATGACAAGGACGAGCCTGAGTCCCTGGCCGAGATCCAGAATACCGAGGTCTACAATGAGATCTTCCAGCCCGAGAATAGCATCCGTCAGACACCACCCCCGGAGAAGCGAGCCCTTCCCGGCACCCCCAGAGGATGACAGAGCCACAGCAAAGGAGGCTGACATAACCCAGCCTCGCCATGGATGTGCAGTTGCTGGGACCAAATCTCGAGGTCCCAGCCCCACCTCCTGTCATGACTTCCACTCCTGAACCCAAGGGTGAGCCTGTCACCATCCCTGCCACATGGGATGAGCCCATTCCATTGGCCCAAAGGCCTCTGACTTACTGCCCACCATGAAGGCCCCCCAGCAGGCAGAGCTGGTGGATGAGGATACCATGTCACAGATACATAAAGGCCACAACACCATGTGTGTGGTGCTCACCAGCTGCCACAAGCACCTGGACACTGGACATGCCATGTGGACCCCAGGAGATATCAAGACATGGATGGACTCTGCAGCAGCCATCAGTGACCTCTCTATGGTGGTAGACCTCCTGAACATTGTCAACCAGAAAACTTCCCTGTGAAGTTGGATCTGTGCACCGCTACCATGCTACCACAAATCGAGAAACTTCTGCAGAGCAAGTGTGAGAGCTATGTCCAGACCAGGTGCACCTCCCTGAAGCTGATCCTGCAGTGGTTCCTGCCCCTCATCCCGGTGACAGCCCCGCCCTCTGTGGGTGTGGACACCAGTCAAGAGGAGAGAGGCTGCACAAGTTCTGAATCTGCTTCAAACAACTGCAGAGCATTGGGGGCCTCGTCAAGAGCCAGTCAGATCTGAGTGGCCGCCATGGCAGCCCTTCCTTGAACTGCAGCTATCCATGACCAGTTTGGACTGAGGAGCTCATGGATGGGAGCACCAGCATCCCTCAATGGCTTGCCTTACACTCTAGTTCACTGTATGCCCATGGCCCATGAGCCTCAGCCTGGCCTCCACTCTTGCCCTGATGGCCATCCTGGAGGTGGCGTTGCCAGCCCTCTGACCACCTTCACAGCTTTGAACTCACAACTTCCTCTCCAGCAGCAGCTGCTCAGTCTTGCACAGGCCTTGCTTCTCAGGGCAGCTCCAGCCTCAGAGCTGCTGCTGCTGCTGCTGCAACTTATCAGGCAGATTTATTAATGTATAACTGTTCCTGACTAACATTCCAGCCTTTTATTGATAAGGGGCAATGTAATCTCTTCTGTAATTGCTTCTTGGCTGAAATTAGGATGTTGTTTTAGGGGCCCAAGAAGGTTAGAATGTGAGTTTAAAAAAAAATAAAAAAATAAAATAAAAAAAAAAAACCTGCTCCTGACTTCCTTAAAAAATAAATTTGGCAGCCACCACACCTGGCTCTAAATCTTATTCTTGCACCCACAGATAGGTTGCAGCCACCATCCCTCACCCAAGAAGGCCCTCTCTACAGCAAATGGAGACAATCACAGAAAACCACAACTGGACACAATGCAGACATCAGATTGTGGGAAGCCTGGCCACAATGGACACGTCTATTTCACAGCTCCCGCACCTGTGGCTCAAGGAACATGGTGGAAAGGAGGGTGAAAAGACTGGAAGACCCAAACACAGGAAACCCTCTGTGAAGTAGTCTCTCTCGGAAGTGACCACATCAACAAGACCAGGACAGAAGCAATGCCAATGAGCCTGTCAACGCGGAAATTGCTGTGGTGCCCTACTCCCAGACAGCTGCTGACTGCTGAGGAATGGAGAATGAGCCTCTCCCAGGAGTGAGCCCTCTAATTGGCTGTCTAATGTGGGGTGGTCAGCCTCGAAACCATATACTCACAAACAATAAAAACAAACCCAGGCCGGGCGATGGTGGCGCACGCCTTTAATCCCAGCACTTGGGAGGCAGAGCCAGGCGGATCTCCGTGAGTTCGAGGTCTACAGACCGAGATCCAGGAAAGGCACAAAACTACACAGAGAAACCCTGTCTCAAAAAAAAAAAAAGAAAAATTAAAAAAAAAACAGTAAGTTCTAATATATATATTAAATATTTATATATGCACAAATGTGTCTTTGCACACACAAAGTAACAAATAATAATAGTAACAATTAATAAAATTAACAAACTAGTATAAAATAACTGAAAAAGAGTTGCCATATAAGTAACATTTTTTAAAAAAGACATTTAAAAAAATGAAACCTAGCCGGGCGGTGGTGGCGCACGCCTTTAATCCCAGCACTTGGGAGGCAGAGCCAGGCGGATCTCTGTGAGTTCGAGGCCAGCCTGGGTGAGTTCCAGGAGAGGCGCAAAGCTACACAGAGAAACCCTGTCTCGAAAAACCAAAAGAAAAAAAAAAATGAAACCTATGGGTTGGTGATTTAGCTCAGTGGTAGAGTGCTCCAGGGGGTGGCAGTGGGAGGGAAGCCTACTAAGCTGGTGGTATGGCCTAGTAGTAGAGAAATTGCTTAGCATGTGTAAGACCCTGAGCACCATATATATGTCTTAGTTCCTGTGAATCATGTTACATTTTTAAAGTTCTGGGAAGTCGACCTATTGTTATCATCCCAGAAGCTACAAAAACAACCCCCCAGTGAGGCCAATGTATCGCCTTAGGGCACCAAGGGGCTGTGAACCCTAGGACCCTGGACCAGGGTTCCTCTTCTCAGTGCTGAGACAAAAACACCTGGCCGAGGAAACGTACAGAAGGAAACTTCAGCTCACAGCTTGAGGGTATCGTCCATTATGGTGGGGAGCTGCGCAGCAGGCGCACCAGGCAGCTGGTCACCTTGTTCCGTGGTGTTTACAGGAAGCAGAGAGAGGTGAATGCTGGTGCTCAACTTGCTTTCTTCTCTTTATTCAGTCTGGGAATCCATCCTGTCAAGTGGTCCCTCCTACAGTGATGTTGGGTCTTCCCACCTAAGTCAACCTAATCTAGATCCTCCCTTAAAGACAAACCCAGAGGTTTGTCTCTTAGGTGATTGCCGATCCCATCAAGCTGGCAATCAGGGTTAACCATCAGAGGTCCCAGGAATCAGTCATAGGCGGGCCCAGCTTCATCACACAGCCTGGGAGACGGTAGAGATCCATCCACCTGTTGAGAGCAAGAGTCGACTCCCATGACAGTGCCTGCCATGGCTCTAGTGTATTCTGACTGTAGAGCATGGCCCTGTGGTCTTTCAGAGCTAGCTCTGCTATATTTGTGGGATTTCTGAGGTATTTTTGTGGCATGTTTCTCCTTGAACCTCCTGTATAGGAATCACTTGGAACCTACTAGAAATGCAGATTACTGGGCCACTGTTCAAACCTATAGGATCAAAAGCCTGGGACCCAAAACTGCACCTTAGCCCTCAGCCCAGAGGATCATGGATTTGAAACATCTCACCAGCCCTCATCAATTTTTTAAAATGAACCTTATTTCTATTTTTCTAGAGGTTGTAGTGCTGATGGTCTGGTCCAGAACCATGAGAGAGCTGAACAATCATTCATTCTTCCACCGTCTGCCCAGAACTTCCTTTAGTTGTTAATGTCCTTTAACAATCTGTTGGTATAATGCTTGCCTAGCATGCTCAAAGCCCTGGGTTCCATCCTGGCAGGACATAAAACATGGTGCGCATACCTATAATACTCATCACTCAGGAAGTAGAGGCAGGAGGATCAGAAATTCAAGTCCAGCCTCAGCTGCCACTACATGGTGAGTTCAAGGCCAGCTTGGGCTGTATAGACTATGCCTCAAAAAGAATAGTGGAGGTTGGTGATCTGAGTCCAATTCCTGGAAATCACTTTAAAAAGCAGATGTAGTTGCACACACCTATAATCCCAGCATTTCTATCACAAAATGGGAAATAGTGGAGACAGGAGAATCACCTGGGAGCTGGCAGGCAGTGAGGCTGGAGTATACAGTGCAGTAGAAAGAGACCCTGCCTCAACAGAGTGGAAGGAAAGGACCATTCCCAAAAGTTGTCCTCAGACCTTCACCTACATACATGGGCTTGTGTATGTACCCAATAATGTGATCACAGTTCTAGGCCAGCCTAGGCTGCAGAGCCAGACTCTCTCCAAAAATCAAAAGAAACTCTCTCCCATACATGACGAACTCCCTCCCCATATGTGTGTGTTTGTGTATGTGTATGTATGTATGTGTATGTGTACATACACATCAACAGCCAAAGCTCCAGCTGCCACCATCTGTGTACAGTCTAAACTCCAGCTCACCTACTTTCTCATAAGTCTCCAGGAACCACCTGATAAGATTTCCACACTCCACTGGACAGGAGCAAGGAGTTGGACCAGGGATGAACAGATATCGATAGAAATAGAGACAGTTTATTAAGAAAAATAAATGGGGATGCTGAAGAGATGGCTCAGTGGTTAAGAGAAAATGCTGTTTTTCTAGAGGATCCAAATTCAGTTCCCACCATTTATATCCTGTCACTCACAGCTACCTTTAACTGTAGCTCCAGAAGATCTGACACCTCTGGCCTCTACAAGCACCTGCTCTCTTACATGCGCACATACATACGCGCACGTGTACACACACACACACACACACACACAGGAGAAACAGAGAGAGAGAGAGAGAGAGAGAGAGAGAGAGAGAGTTAAAATAGAGAGAGAGCAATAGAGCAAAGGCTTTCCTAAGAGTGGGAATGGACCAGGAATAGGGTCAAGTCCTAGGTTCAAAGGCCCTGAGCCTGAGTCTCCAACCTTACAGGTCATTTACATAGACCCTCCTGCTCTGGCCTTTGGTGGGAGTTCTTTCTCTACACATGCTGTTTTGACACTCACAGTCAGTGGTGGGTAAGGTTTCCTGTCTTCCTCTGCCATTGTTTTTTTTCCCTCACATGTCAATCTTGACACCTCAGAACATCCCTCTCCACTCTGCTCCCCCTCAGAAAGGCCTCCCTGTCCAGCTGTCCAGTGCTTTGTATGAGCACGGCAGCGGGATCAGGGAGTGGGAGAGTGCTTTCTTCAAGCTGAAGGTGGTAAGAAGATAAACTCCAGTTGCAGCAATCAGATTTTCAGTACCAAAGACATTGTGAGTCAGGCTGGAGGCTGGCAAACACGCTCTGAGCTGGCGTAGGCCCACACCCAAGAGGCCCAACAGTGTTCTAGGATCCAAATGGAAAGGATGTGTCACAGAGGACACCAGGTGAGGCCTGTCATCAGGACAGTGGGGTAGCTGTGACTACAAGTGGTCCACCTGTCAGGATGGAAAATAAACCCTCATGGCTGCTCCCGCCGTGGGCTGCCTTCCCCATGCCACCCTCTGGCAGGCTGTACAACTGGGCAGGTGACAGGGCCATGAGTATTTGTGGATAACCTGCCTGTTAGCAAAAGTAATGATCACTTTAAGTGCTGTTGAGTGAGCTGTCATTTCACATGAACTGGTCAGTCTTCACTCTCGTCCATGCTCATTAATTAGGACGGAATGTTCTGAGATAATTATTTTTTCATTGCTGCGGTTAGAATGCAGGGCCTCACACATGCTAGAAAAGTGCTTTACCATTGACTATACTCCCAGCAACAGGAGAATTTGTACATAATTAAAGAGATGTCTCAATGGATAAAGCATGACAACCAGTGTTGAGAGCCCCAAAACCCATGTAAATGTCAGGCAGGTAAAATGGCTGCCTGTAATCCCAACACTCAGGAGACAGAGACAAGGGGTCCCCAGGGCAAGCTGGCTGGCTAGACTAGCCAAATCAGTGAACTCTGGGTTCATCAAGAGGACCTGATCAATAAATAAATAAAATGGAAAGTAATTGAAGGAGACACCCAATGTCAACTTCACTACAGGTATACCCATACCCATACAGGTGTGCCTGTTCACATTCAAGCATGCATACTCACACCATGCACACACATACACTTGCACAAAAAAGAATTTCAATCTA